CTTAGGGACATGGTTTAGTGGTGGGATGGCAGGGTTAGGTTAACGGTTGGACTTGATGATCTTAAAGGTCTTTTCCAACCTAGACGATTCTATGATTCTATGAATTGGAGAAACAGGCTGCAAAAAAATGAGGACAACATTTTGTGAAGTCAAGCACAAAGCACTACCCTTGGGCAGGAATAATCAATCATCTCATGAGCACAAATGGGGATCAAATAGCTGGGCAGTGTTGGAGAAAAGGTTCTGGGCATTACAGTGGGCCATAAACTGAACACAACCCCATGGCCGACTGCTGTGCAATAAGTCAGCCCTACACAGGACTGTATGAACAGGAGGAGAGCGAACAAGTCCTACAAGCAATTCTTCAAGAACTTCTTATGTTCTGCTGAGTGCCTGTAAGGCCTCTGCTGGAGTTATATGCCGGGATCGGGCACTGTCCTTCAAAAATGAGAGATCTGGAACAAAGTGATGTCAGCGAGGCTGTGGAAACTCCAGCATTGGAAGCTTGTTAAGTACAGATTAGGTGAATACTAAACTGACATCACCAGCCATGTTTACTCCTGTGCTCGGGCAGATGTTGTCCCGGGGTTCACGTCACCTCTGTAGCGACCAGCCATAAAACACACGTTGATGAGACAGCGCAGTTATGTGTTTGAACTTCAGAAGACGGTATTGTCCAGGTAACTCGCATTGCCGTGCTCATGTTAATGGGGTCAGACAATCCCTTAATTGCCAAGGAAAAATTCCAAGAGGGGGAGAAAAGGCACAGTTGCCACAGATCTCACCTCTTGTAGAAACTTGGGAGCAGCATCAGGGAAGAATCTTATGGAAAAAGAAAGCAACGCTTTAAATGACCCAGCCATGTTTTTCTACATGGAAAGCCTTTAGACTTTAGCTTTTTTACAGTAAAACCATGCTATGGCAGGCCCCTGTCAGTTCTCCTTTCTCCAGTTCACACTTCATGATTCGTAGGCCATGAGGAAGACGGCTGTGCTGCTCCTCCGCACAGCCGCTGACAGCGGGGGTCTTCCCTGTGTCCCCCTCTGAGAGGGGTTTCATTGCTCCACCGCAAAATACCATGCAGGACAAATGCAAAGGTGTGGCAGCACAGATTTGCTAATGAGATTATGCCCTTGGTTTCCCTAATAGAGAAGGGTCATGGGAGATCAGGGACATTCCTCCCTGCCCACGCGCTGCTAAAGAGAGGTTTCCACAAAACCAGCAGAACCATTTCTTAACAACATGCCACCTGAGTCCCTCACCAACATGCTTGGCTTCATTTACCCTTCTAATCTTGGTAGCAGGGAGGAAAATCTGATTGTAATTAATCTTACTTGACAAACGGAGAGCGGAGCCAGAGGGACAGCAGGGCTTGCTGAAGGCAGCGATGCGGCTGGGCAGCAGAGCCGAGATGGGAATTTGGTCTGACCTGACCAGGACCCCC